TTGCCCTGAGGGGTCTCATGACTGAGGAGTGGAAAAGTAACAAAGTGTCTTCTGCAGGGAAAAATGGAGTCAGTTTGGTTCACAGGCCTAGCCTTACTCTGTTTCAAGACAAAGTGCTTGATGTAGTCAGAAAGAGCTGATTTTACTTCTATTTACATGTGATTTGACACTTGAGGTAAACCAAGTCAAATTATGTTTAGAACACTAAAATTCTGTGTTCCCATACATAGTAATTTCATCTTTTTAATGATAAATTCTGAAGCTTTTACATTCACAGTTATTCCATAGAAAATTCATGACCCAGTAAAGTAGGTATCTTATCTGGCCCTTTGTAAATAGCAGTTCAGGGGTCATTATCCTAACAGCTTCTTGACTTCTTCTGTATTTCAGTTTTCAGAAGTGTCTGATAATTCTGATAATACTGTTACTTTCCAAAACTCAGGAGCTAGTCATTAAACTATTAACTTAAAGGTGAGACTTTTATTTCCCTATAAACTTTTGGAGAAAACCATGTTATCGCCTTTCTCAGCTATCGTAATGAAACGTCTCAAACTTAGATGACTACACTGGAATATTGAATTACTGTGTCAACAACAAACATTACAGTCCTTTTCTGCTGTCAGAGAGGAAATTAGACCTGATACACTAGGATGCTTTGGAGGACAAACCACTGAAAGTTCTCCCGCACTGCACGGCTGGTTTAAGATGAGCAAGGAAACCTCGCAGGAGACCCCAAGCAGGAGAGTCACAGACAACCTTCTCTCTAGGTTCTCATTATCTCCGTTATTTTTCCATGGGAGCAGAGCTGAAGGTTTGGCTAAACCTCAGTTTCATCTAAACCAGCTCACTCCACAACTGGAGATTATATGTGGCTCCTCTCATCCTCTGGACTGGCTGCCTCTAGTGGAAGAATGGTTCTACTTGTTGATATTAATGGGGAATGTTGGAGGTCAGTCACCTGAGGGGTAATTTCCCTAAGCACTGATCTCATCTCCCTGATCTCATCTCTCTGGCCAGTTTTGCAATATCTCATACTTGGAACTGCAGTTGTTGTTGTGATGTGGGGGCTTAGAGGCACATGGTCCTCTCCTCAAGACTGGTTCTCCTTCTCACAGAAGTACCTCCTGTAGTGATGGGGGGCCTCAAATTTCCCTTCTGTCCCTCCCCGTTCTCTCCCCTCCCCCTCCCTTCCCTTTTACCTCCCTCTTCCTTTCTCTCTCCTCCCCCCTTTTCTGTTAGGTTGAGTTCACAGTTAAACTCTGGTTATCTGGTGGATTGTGTCCTGAATTGGAAATTGAGGGAGAATGTCATAAATTCTTTGGCTAATTTCCTTTGTGAACATTAAAAAAAATTATTCTGTTTCTCTGTTATTTGACTGCCTCTGAAAAATGAAGAGATTTTATGCTGCATTTTTCAAGGTTACATGAAAACTAAAAAGTGAACTAGGTTAGTGTTAATAATAATGCCAATCATTTAATTTTTTCCTTTCTTGTTTATTTTATTTTTTGAATATGTAGAAGATTGACATGCTTCCAAAAGTCAAATATATATTAAAATATTCAAAAAGGTGTCTCTCTTCCTCTCCT